CTGTCTCTTATACACATCTAGATGTGTATAAGAGACAGGTTCGCTCCCGATCTGCTGGCCCAGCCGCCTTCCAGCAGCTGCCGTGGTCCTTGCCCATTGTCTCTCGCTTGCTGCTGGAGTAATCCCCCGTCACCGCCGAGCGGCAGCGGAGGCGCTTGTTGGCCTCCCGTGGCGGCAACCCAGCCGCCACTACTGGCTGCATCCGCCACGACGCTGCCAGGCTCCTTCTTCTTCACCGACTCCTCCACCAGGGCCGCCAATTGCGAAATCTGCCGTTGCAAACTTGCAGCTCCGCATCGCTGCCCTCCTGCACCGGCGGGCGGGTCTGTTCTCCGCTCGCAGCAGTGCGCTCTTCGTCTCCAGCAAAGCTCATCCCAATGTGGCTTCCCTCGAGAGGCAAAAACTACTCTAGAGTGTTTGCGGCCTACGCCACTTACTTTTCTGGTGAGACTGCTTTGGTTATGTATTAACTTCACGAGAGGTAGACGACCGTCCTTCACACGGACGAAAGAGGGAGTTCTCAAAGAGCGGCTTCCACAGCAAGGAGGAGCCCCGTGAATCATCGTGGTGCCCCCTACCAAACGGCAATCTTACCAGTCTGCGTGACATCAAATCATCCAGCATATGTATCCAACACCAATGTTCGCAGACCCACGAACAAGGACTGCCTCTGCCAACGCCCAGACTGCTTCCTACATTTTTTCGCCAAGGAAGAAAGGAAGGCAGAGTTTCGCGTTTGCGGAAATTGTAACTACCGGAAATCGGGCAAGAGCAGCGTAAGGTGGTATCCCATAGGTCTGCAGGTGATCATATCGCGGCGAGGAGTGCAGCAGTGAGCGATGCCGTTCGATGGTGCGGCCGTTGCTATCAGAAACGGCTGGACGGCATGAAGCGATACGAGAAACAGCCAGAGCACCCAGCAAACACGGATCATGGATCGGGGAGGGAGGCGCCGACCCCTCTAGAACCGTTGGACACGGTGCGCGCGATGGTGGTTGAAGTCCTCTGTCGAGGTGATTTCCTGTACTGGCAGGACGTCGCCAATTGCCTAGCTGCTGGACGCGCAAAGGTTTGTATGGATTAGTTACAAGGGAGATACCCAAGAAAGCTCGTCCGGGCCTTGTTCACCAGCATAGCCTCGGCGTGCGGGAGCGATTCACGATTGGTCTGTCACGATGGAGCAAAGGGAGATGCACGCGAGCGGGAGCTCTGCCTCTTCCCAAACTCAATTCGGGACGAGTACCTCGTGGGCTTAATGCTGCGTGCTCGCCGTAAACGCACTCGCCCAGTCACCATCCGACCAGCTAGCGGATAAGGACGAGTCTCTCGGGTCGATCCTGGACTAAGTCGTGAAGGATAAGGAGGGTGCAGACGCAAGGATGTATGTCGTGCGAGCAGCTGGAAGAATTGTTCGAGGCGGCGTGGAGAGTGATCCTGCCATTAAGAACACCCCCGGGACCAAAGAGAAGCATCGTACGCCGATGAGTTGGCCATGAAAGTGAAGCCCCCGAGAGAAGCTCTACTATCCGCATATCCTCCGGCCTTGGTTGGATTATACCAAAGCATGACGAAGACGGCGCTGAATCGCGAGATCATTGCATCAGAGACCGAAAGCCCTGGGTGTGGGAGATCGCAGGGCAAGACGGACGGCAACCCACCACCTCGGGCGGTGGGGAGGGCTAGGACGTTGATGGAGAAAAGAGGAACGAGGTCAGTCAAAGGCAGTCACGATGTCGTCAGGGCCACGATCCGAGGAACAGGTCAAACATGTCGACAGCCTTGACCGCGACAGGCGATCTACGGATCGTATACTTCAAGTAATGTGTGCGGTGGTGGCGAAGGCCATTTTGCGTGGTCGGCACATGGCTCATCACGGCATCAAAGCGGCTCAGTGGGCAAAGTCTAAGGGTACGTGTCGCGAGGTGATCAACATAGTGGCGGAGCACGGTTTGCGTCGCAAGTTCAGCACCGAGAAGATTTCCACGCGAAGTTCGTAAAGGACAAGGACCTTCTGAGCCGGGACGCCGAGGGCGCTGCCATCCCTTGCGTGTTGCTAATGCCATGGCACTCTCCGTTGCCTCTATGAAGCAGAAGGAATCGCACGGAGCGGAACAGAACGACGGGGAGGCGGGAACCCCCGAGTCACCTGCGAGCAACGACGTTTCCTCCGGAGAGGCCGCGGAGTCGAAGAACGCAAATCTGCAAGACCCCGGGTCGGACGAGAACAGCGACGGTTTGGTCGGTGCACTCGACGATTTGATGAAGTTGGATTCGGGTGAATTTGGCTCTAGCGATGACAAATCTGACGGGTTGAGTGAGAAGAGCATCGACCCGGCCTGGAGTAACAGAGACACAGATGATGGTGCCGCGGATCTCGTCACCGACGCCTGGAACTGACACCTGGCTAGTACTTCAGGCAGGTGCATGTAACGTTTCCTGAGAGATCTGGCTTGGGGTTGGGGATGGCGTCATGGGCATTATTGGACAAGAACAGATCTCCACCTCCTACCGAAAGATCGCTGTGGTCTGATTTATTTTTACCCCCATGTTCCAACGCCACAGTTCGCGCGTCGTTGTTGGTGGTTAAACAGGCCCGTGCTTCACTTGGATGGGGTACGAGACNCCAAAGGTGGCTCAAAAATGTCTTCCCTAGTCTGTCTATCCTAACGATATCCCTTCCCGCCTTTTCAACCCACCTCCTATGCCCCACTACAGCTACCGTCCTTTCCTCTCTATTCCATGCCTCAAACATCTCCCTGTACGTTCCATCTATTTTTCCCAGCTCAGTCACGTACACTTCCCTCTCCTTCTTGTACAACGGACATTCCGCGACCATATGAACACAGTCTTCGCATTCGAAGCTGCAATCACATTTGAACTCGTCATCTTCGTCGTCTACCGTCC